GCGGGAGGAAGTGTCAAACTACAGACTAAAAACCACCCCGTTCCTACTCCTGCACTTTGAGCCGGAGCCCCGGTAACCCGTTAGGTTCTCCGCGACTCCGAATCGGCATCAACCCTATTGGGCCCCATTCGTGGTGGTCTGATAGCTCTTTGAGATTTCGATATGCCTATCACATTTGTCAAAAAACCAATGACAGGGGTAACGCAATATCATGTTTTAATTAGCATAATATGACAGCTACAAGTCTATTGCACACAGCGACTAAAGTCCGCATATAATATTGTGTTGTAGAGATGTTCTTGTCATATATACACTTCACAATAGTTATGAAACTACGAAGGCATCACAATTGTCATCATTACGCCACTATAAAGCCTTGACCATTTGATCATATGGCCATTACACTATGTACTATACTTTAGGCCTGGCTTTACACGCGTATGATCAGACCTTCCTCTTGAACCACTGTATCTATTAAAAAACCTGCATCAAAATCCGTTGAGTAGTTTTAAAGATCTAGGCATACATAGGGACAGACAGCGGAATGCAACTTTTCTTTATACTATAACTAGTGACCCGCCCCGGCTTCGTACGGGTGCAATATGCATGTATTATACATATAAACCTTCCTTAAGAAACGCAATATCTTTATTAAATTAAATAATTTTATGACCAACTTTTTAAGTTAAGTATTTTTCCAGCAAAATTTTAAGTAATAAGTACACTGTTTGACGCTAAAAAAAAACGTGACGTCACAATACACAATCTCGTACAAAATTCATAGAAAACTGTCGTTTTTGACAGTGACGGTGGCCCGGGTTCGAAACCTACCAACGGCAAGTACCAATGTGACTTTTTCCGAGTTATATGTACTTTCTAAGATTATTCAGACACCACTGACAAACGGTGAAGGAAAACATCGTGAGGAAACCTGGGCTTATAATTTCTAATTATAAGTTTGTAATCGCCAACCCGCATTGAGCAAGCGTGGTGATTAATGCTCAAACCTTCTCCGTGTGAGAAGAGGCTTTGCTCAGCAGTGGGCATATGGGCTGTTGATGATGATGATGACTGAATTTGACTAGTTGGCAAGTACTCAAATTGATCTAGTCGTTCTGGAGATGAACGCGTTGTGTGTGTATGTTAGAGACATATTTAATGTGTTCAGCAAACTTGTTAGTTTTCGACATCAATGGAAACCTGCGAATATGTTTAGCTTAGGTAATGTTATGAAAGCGTAAATAGAAAACTACTAAGTGGGTAAGCAGAAACAGCTTTGTTTACGTGATTATGACGACATAATACCGATTCAAGGATTAGGCACATGTGTCTACTTACATTCATAAATACTCGTAAATATAGTTTTATCATCTTATATCTTAATATACTATTTTATACTATTATATAAAGAGGAAGAGTTTGTTTTTTGTTTGTTTGTTTGAACGCGCTAATCTCCGTAACTACAAGCCTGATTTGAATAATTATTTTTGTGAGATAGCGCATTTATTGAAGATGGCTATAGGCTATAAAACATCACGCTACGACTAATAGGAGCTAAGCAGAGCGTGTGAAAGAGCGCGGAAGTAGCTAGTATTACCTATATAAATCTGAAGCGTTTGTTTGTTTGAACGCGCTGATCTCTAGAACTACTGGTCCGATTTGAATATTATTTTTGTGTTGGATAGTGCATATATCGAGGAAAGCTATATATAGGCTATAAAACCTCACGCTACGGTCTACGATCAACAGAAGCTGGGAGGGGTAGGCAGAAGTGCACATTACGGCACTTAATGCCACTGTACAATGTAACACCCACTTTTCACTATTCATGTTATGAGTCCCATGTAATAGGGGGTGAGCCCATTGCCATATACCGGACACAGAGACTACGTGCTACTACTGGGAATTAGTTATTTAAATAACCCAGTAATACTTTTTACGACCCGGGAATTGATCTTATCATATCTTCTGATTCACTTCGTTGCGGGAATCAAGACGGATGTTCATGTCCCTGGGACGTTGGACTTCAGTGTTCCGGTGTTTTCATGGTTGTATCTACTGTAGATCCTGGCTTACAGGAGTTGCAGCGGTTTTGGGAGGTTGTGGCGGGCTTGTCCCTTAAAAAGACCCGGGAATCGATCCCGAGACTCCTTGCCCGGTAGCACTTGCTACCACTCGGCCAACGAGGCAGTCAGTACCTAACGAATAAAAATAATACATGTTGGTATATTTCGTACTATATGCTTCATATTCGCAATATCCGTAATTACTTCATACCGCACTCTTGCGCAGTTGGGTAAGGTGACCTTGCCAGGTATACAATGAAATAATGAAGAACATATTTTAGATTTGTACTTTTTTAATTTGAACAGAAGCTGTGTTGTAACACATAGGTACTGTGCACAGAAATATTAATATATTTACTGCCTTGGCCGAGTGGTCGTAAGTGCGACTGCCGGGCAAGGGGTCTCGGGTTCGATTCCCGGGTCGGGCAAAGTATTACTGGGTTTTTAAATATTCTCAGTAGTAGCTCGGAGCCTGGAATTGTGTCCGGTATATGGCAATAGGCTCACCCCCTATTACATGGGACTCATAACATAAATAGTGAAAAGTGGGTGTTACATTGTACAGTGGTATAATGTGCACCTCTGCCTACCCCTTCGGGGATAAAAGGCGTGATGTTATGTGTATGTGATTAATATATTATCTATGACACCATGTCATCACCGCTGCTCTTCTCGTGGGTATCTTATACCCACTAAGAGATTAGGTATCTACATTTTTAAATGAGATTACGGCGTAGCTCTTTGATTAACCTGGCCTGGAGTATTCAAACTGGTATCTCTTGTTGGTGGGCTGATTTCATAAAGCCTTCGAAATAGAAATAAATAGATAATGCCTAATTATTATGTAATTTATACTTTTGGTAATAATTATAGATGTAGTTAATTGTAGTATGTAACTAGGTTCCCACTTTACTATATAGAAAATGACAAGATGTATTATAATATAAAAAATTGTATGACAGGGGCACGGACCAAGAGTCCGTGGAGAATTAATCTGTAATATTATAAAAAAAAAACTGGTATCTCTAACTCGTCTGCCAAACGTGGATATTATGAACCTCAGCCTTGCTGACTGCTGACAGCAGCTGGAGTAGGAACGGGGTGGTGTTTAGTCAGTAAGAGTCTGACACTCCCTCTCGCCTCATCAAGGGCAAGAGAAGTCATAGGATGATATTCCCCCCTCAAAAAAAGTTTTGCTAGCTACCTATAGCTGATAATTATAAACATATCATCATCACGCCTTTTATCCCTGAAGGACTAGCCAGAGGTGCACATTACGGCACTTAATGCCACTACAATGTAACACCTACTTTTCACTATTTATATTACGAGTCCCATATAATACAGACTCTATAACAGTTATCCTTGAATTGAGCACGACGTACATTTCTACACATCTACAAAACAAAAAATAAAAAACCACCCATGCATTTCGCGACCTCAACAAGTGTGGCTTAACCTTCCTCTCATTGCGACTATCACAAGGATGTAATGTTCTATATATCAAATATCTAAGTTTTGTAATATGAGAAGTGAAAGTCTGCTGCTTACACTATTACGAGAAAAGTCCTTGACGGTAGGTAGATACAGTTAATATAAATATAACTTAACTTTTACCTCTTAGCTAATCTGTGGTTTAGAATGGACAAATATACTTAAAGACTAACTATACATATACAAAGATGTCGAAACATAGCAATAGGGTAGATGACTAATTTTTATCTTATCTCGTTGAGTACCGTCATTATAGACACAATTAAAGAACCGGTTGCGGTCACCGGTGTCCTCGCAGTATTTGACAGTTTAATATTCTTCTGGTAGATTATTTAAAAACATTACACACGTATTTTTTATTTTCTTATAGAAACGAATAGTTTCGAAGATATATTGATTTGAAATGTCGCATGACGTCACTTTTGAGTACAATTTATACTCTAAAATGATGTAGCTACCCACTTCTAAACTTTTATTCGTTTTATCCAAGTATTGTTTTATTATACGACAAAATAAAAAAAATACGTGTCTAATATTTCTTCATTACCTAACTGACAGACTAATTACATTTTTAATTTTTATACCCTATCATCATCCCTAATACCAATGTGACTTTTTCCAATAGTGAAAAGTGGGTGTTACATTGTACAGTGATATTAAGTGTTGTTATGTGCACCTCTGCCTACCCCTTCGGGGATAAAAGGCGTGATGTCATGTCAATGTCAAAGTATAATAAAATAAAATTATAATTAACTAGCGACCCGCCCCGGCTTCGCACAGATGCAATACGCATGTTTTATACATATAAACCTTCCTTAAGAATCACTCTATCTATTAAAAACCGCATGAAAATCCGTTGCATATTTTTAAAGATCTAAGCATACATAGGGACAGATAGACGGCGGATAGCGATTTTGTTTTATACCTACTATGTAATGAAGTCGGAGAGAAGTAAGCTGTTATTTTAGTGAAGGTAATAAATTAAAATTCATCGATGGGAATGGCGACATCGATGTCACCATTCCCCATGACGAGAACCTCCTGAAAGCTGAGAAAGATAAACAAATAAAATATCTAGACTTAGCTCACGAGGTTGTCGACATGTGGAGTGTGGATTCGGCTATCATTGTGCCGATAGTCGTGTCGGCCAATGGATTAATCCCTAAAAGCCTCGACATTCATCTTAGGAGGCTGGCGTTATGTGGATGGATCAAGGGCCTGATACAGAAGGCAGTTCTCCTAGAAACGGCACGTATCGTGAGGAGATTTCTGTCTCTGGAGCCCTAACCACCGGTAGCTTGGACCATGCTCCCGCTACTGGTTGGCTCCTATGTTTTTATATTTTTAAATATTATTTTTTATTTTGTAAGTAGTATTTAAAAATGTAATTTATAGAGAATTTTAAATAAATTAAAAGTATTATTAATTGTTCACAGAACCATGGCATCGGAAACTATATCGAGCGCTGAGCTCGAGTGTTTACCAGACCGTATTGCGGACACCTTCTCCGGCATGAAGGTCCTCATCACTGGAGGAACTGGCTTCATGGGGAAGGTCCTCGTCGAGAAACTGCTCAGGTAAATTTGCCTTACTGATTTTGATGCGGTTTTTTTAAATAGATTCTTAAAGAAGTTTTATATGTATAATACATGCATATTGCACCCGTGCGAAGCCGGGCCGGGTCGCTAGTATACCATAAAGATGTGAAGTTTTAACATGAAACTTTGTTAATATTACAGAAAATGTCCCGACATCGATCAAATACTTCTGTTCGTGAGATCCAAAAAGGGCAAAAATCCAAAACAAAGGTTGGAGGAAATCTTCAGTGGCGCTGTGAGTACATATTTAAGTATACGTTTTATAAATACAAGACTAGCCTGTCGCGGAGAACCTAACGGGTTACCGGAGCTCCGGCTCGATGTGCAGGAGAAGGAATGGGGTGGTTTTTAGTCAGTAAGAGTCTGACACTCCCTCCCGCCTCACCCAGGCGGGAGCAGACATCCCAACGATTTTCCCCCCTTAAAAAAACATACAAGACTAGCTGTTGCCCGCGAATTCGTCCGAATATGAATTTAAAAACGTTAATTTTTTTTGTTCCTATATTCCAAAATAAAAGTAGTCTATGTTACTCTTTAGTATATCAGCTACTTGACAATAAAAGTCTAGCAAAATCGATGCAGCCATTCCAGAGATTAGCCAGTATAAATAGACCGACAGATAAAAATGTTATTGCCAACTGTTCAGGCCAACTGTTAACTTTGTTGCTACTGATTAATGGCAATAAAGTAAAATTAGTTGATGCCACCTGCCTCGTTGGCCGAGTGGTCGCAAGTGCGACTGCCGGGCAAAGGGTCTCAGGTTCGATTCCCGGGTCGGGCAAAGTATTACTGGGTTTTTAAAAAAAAACATCTCAGTAGTAGCACGGAGTCTGGAATTGTGCCCGGTATATGGCAATAGGCTCACCCCCTATTACATGGGACTCATAACATAAATTGTGAAAAGTGGGTGTAACATTGTACAGTGGCATAATGTGCGCCTCTGCCTACTTCGGGGATAAAAGGCGTGATGTTATGTTATGTTTAGTCGATGCCACCTAACCTTAATACACATTGCATCAAAGTAATTGACACGTCAATGTGTAAAAGTTGTCGCGGAGAACCTAACGGGTAACCGGGGCTCCGGCTCGACGTGCAGGAGAAGGAACGTGGTGGTTTTTAGTCAGTAGGAGTCTGACACTCCCTCCCGCCTCACCCAGGCGGGAGCAGTCATTTGATGATTTTCCCCCTCAAAAAAAAAAAATCTCAATACACATTGCATCAAAGTAATTGACATCAATGTGTAAAAGTTCGCCGTCCCTGGTCTAGAGCCTTACACTTCAAACTATCGGTTTTTACACTTCAGTTACAATTTTGTAACACTAACTTTGACACTTTTTGTCCGTTACTTAACTATTACTCAGTAACTTAGTAACAGTATGACGCTACTTAGGATAAGTAGGTCAACAGTACTCGTGGATTACAGACATTCTTGCAGAAATTTGGAAATTATAATGGTTAGATAGCACGGAGTCTGGAATTGTGTCACTGCGTCCGTCCCTTAATCGGGTATACTACACCCGCGGGAAGAATAGCGGTGGTGATAAATGTATTCAATTAAAAATGTAAAGAACAAGAATAAAGTTCAAGAACTCAATCTGAAACTTAATTTTTGAGCTAAACTTAAAAGAAGTTATTATGAGTCCCGTAAAGAAAAAGCAAGCAAATCCGACAAACGCCACGAGTTCACAAGAAAAACCTCCAAAATTAACATACCAACAAACATATCATAACTCACGACATCATCATAACAAAAGTAAACATAAACTTTCAAATTACACAATTCCATTGAGATCGGCACATCAGTTTCTGAGAATGCGGCATACACACGTACTTGCATGTGACAACCGGGTTTCCATGCCAAGGTTATGACGATTTGTGTCGCTTGCAATTACCCGACTGCGTCTAATAAAGGTGAGGTTATGGTTTCTCTTGTGGTATTTTACAACCACAAATATTTACACGACAATTTTGTAAAGGAGGCTCGTGTAATCAGGTCGTCATGAGCTAATGTTCACATGTAAACAGCAGCTCATGTAGTGTAGATGTCCAGTCAACAAGGATGTAGCGAGGTTGACTGTCCAGGCGACACACGTACTTAGGTATCGTCATGAGCTAATGTTCACATGTATACAGCAGCTCATGTAGTGTAGATGTCCAGTCAACAAGGATGTACGAGGTTGACTGTCCAGGCGACACACGTACTTAGGTATCGTCATGAGCTAATGTTCACATGTATACAGCAGCTCATGTAGTGTAGATGTCCAGTCAACAAGGATGTAGCGAGGTTGACTGTCCAGGCGACACACGTACTTAGGTATCGTCATGAGCTAATGTTCACATGTAAACAGCAGCTCATGTAGTGTAGATGTCCAGTCAACAAGGATGTAGCGAGGTTGACTGTCCAGGCGACACACGTACTTAGGTATCGTCATGAGCTAATGTTCACATGTAAACAGCAGCTCATGTAGTGTAGATGTCCAGTCAACAAGGATGTAGCGAGGTTGACTGTCCAGGCGACACACGTACTTAGGTATCGCCATGAGCTAATGTTCACATGTAAACAGCAGCTCATGTAGTGTAGATGTCCAGTCAACAAGGATGTAGCGAGGTTGACTGTTCAGGCGACACACGTACTTAGGTATCGTCATGAGCTAATGTTCACATGTAGTCGCGAGTGACGACACAACATACAACATCTGTAGCAATATGGGTTTTACAAAAAATGCATTAGTTAACCAGGCAAGCATGAACTAAAGAAATGATTGCTTTTAATTATATAGACCTCGTTTGTATTTACTCTGATTTGTTAATGAAAAATACTGTTCTTATCTTTACTGCCTTGTTGGCCGAGTGGTCGCAAGTGCGGGCCGGGCAAGAGGTCCAGGGTTCGATACCCGGATCGGACAAAGTGGAACTGGATTTAAAAAAAATTCTTAGTAGTAGCACGGAGTGACGGAGTCTGGAATTGTGCCCGGTATAGTTAAACCGATCAAAATTGCAAATTTCTTTGCCAAAAAACCACCGAAAAAATCCAATAATACTTTACTCGACCGAGGAATCAAATCAGCACTCATACTTATTTGCCACCACTTGACTGACGAATAAAAAAAACCAAAGTCAAAGTCAAAGCATGTATTTCAAATAAACAATAATTTGGTACTTTTGAAACGTCAACAAATACAAAATAAATAATAGTCTGTCAGTCTGTGCGTCAGTGAAGCTAGGTGCTCGTTCCAAAATATAGATTCGAATGGAGAAGAACGAGCAAGAAACTCCATTCGTTACTCTTTTAATGATGTCATGATAAAAAAAAATATGTTATGTTAAGCATAACTGTACAAGATCAAAATCCAACCTCTTGTGGAATTTAGACGTGAGTAACCCGCGACTGCCTCGTTGGCCGAGTGGCCGCAAGTGCGACTGCCGGGCAAGGGGTCCAGGGTTCGATTCCTGGGCCATGCAAAGTATTAATGGGTTTTAAAAAAAAATCTCAGTAGTAGCACGGAGTCTGGAACTATGCCCGGTATACGGCAATAGGCTCACCCCCTATTACATGGGACTCATAACATAAATAGTGAAAAGTGGGTGTTGCATTGAACAGTGGCATAATGTGCACCTCGGCCTACCCTTTCGGGGATAAAAGCCGTGATGTTATGTAGTATATGTTTGTATGTTTAACCTATTTTTTCATTCCTAGCTCTTCGAAAAATTGAGAGAGATGAGAGGTGGAGTGGAACCCCTCCTGGAGAAGGTGACCCTCATCAATGGAGACGTATCAGAACCAGATCTGGCGATGAGTCCCGAGGACAGGCAGATGATCATCGATCAAGTTGACATCATCATCCACGCTGCGGCTACCATCAGGTATGCTAATCATGTTTATATCCAGTTACTTATCATTATCTGGTTTATTTTTTGAGGGTAGACAGTCTTCCAATGTCTCCTCTCACCTTGGATGAGGCGAGAGAGAATGTCAGACTTTTACTGACTACATACCACCCCGTCCTAATCCTGATCTTCAAGCCGGAGCCTCTGAACCTCAGGTCATAGCTGGACTATGAATCTCCTGTATATTATAAATGGGTTTGCCATAATCTTCTTGCTTGCTAAGCTGGTGTAAGAGATTGTAATTTGAAAGGTGCAGTTTTATCAGAGAGCGCTGCTGCCCGGTTTCTGTCAAATATGTAGTCCCAAGTCGGGTATACGACACCCTCGGGAAGAGTAGCGGTGGTGGATCTTCATGGACTGAAAATACAAAATCTCGACAAAATTTCAGGTTCGATGAAGAGCTGAAAAAGGCTGTTCTTCTAAACGTGAGAGGTACCAAGCTGATGGTGGAACTGGGGAAGGCTTGCAAGAATTTGAAGGTACGTAGACTTACATCTGAGAGCGTCATGCTCATCGTCATGCAGTACTGCTGGGGTGTATCGACCGGAGTGATACCACGGCCTCACAGTACACCTGCGTGACACTGCCACAGCGTTGTGTGCAGCCGTGTCAGTGAGGTGTCGTGGGATCCCAGAGGTTAAGATGCCCGCTTCTCATTCATAAGGGTGCTGGCACGAAATCTACCAACGGCAAATACCAATGTGACTTTTTCCAAGTTATATGTACTTTCAAATATGATTTAGACACCACTGACAAACGGTGAAGGAAAACATCGTGAGGAAACCTGGGCTTATAATTTTTAATGGTAAGTTTGAAATCGCCAACCCGCATTGAGCAAGCGTGGTGATTAATGCTCAAAACGTTCTCCGTGTGAGAAGAGGCTATGCTCAGCAGCATCCACTTATAGGCTGTTGATGTCAGTGAGGTTAGTGGAGTCCTAATCCTTGCTCCTTTCATCCATAAAACCCTAAATACTCAAATTCCTCACCCCAAAAGGCCGGTAACGCACTTGTAACGCCTCTGGTGTTGCGGGTGTCCATGGGCGGCGCGGATTGCTTACCATTAGGTGATCCATCTGCTCGTTTATGTTATAAAAAATATAAATACCCAAAATTTGGTTGTAAAACTGATTGCAAATGAATGACATTTTGTTTGATTTCAAAAGTCCCTTTTGATTTGAAGAAGATGTAATCTGAACATTCTTCTTGCAGGTATTCATCCACATCTCGACGGCTTACTGCCACCTGCACGAGAAACTCCTGGAGGAGAAGGCGTATTCTCCACCAGCCGACCCTCATCAGATCATCCAGGCGGTGGAGTGGATGGACGAGGAGACCATTGCTACTATGACGCCCAAGTAAGTTGGATTTAAGGGATCAGCAGAAGTGTTGGACTCCAATACCTGTTTTCATCAATCTCTGTTAAATTTTAACTCGTCGAGTACCGGTTTTATAGACACAATTAAAGAACAATAGGTCGCGGTCACCGGTGACCGCTTGGTGTTTGACAGTTTAAGGTACCCCTAAATTAATTATAAGTGACACATTACACCATTTTGGTTTTTATCAATCAAAAATACCAATGTCAATCGATCGGAATTGGATCAGGTCTCTGTTAAATAATGACATAATCTCTTAGTCGGGTATACGACACCCACGACACGAGTAAAGGTGGTTACAAAATATGTTTTTTATTTATTTATTTCAATAGGTATACCAACAGCTTCTGTATACATAGCATTAAGTGATATGAAAGTAACATTAAGTATTTAGGCTTATACAGTCGCCAATTATAGGTTAACCAACATTTAAGGTAATTACTTAAGTGATAAAAAAAAACTATAAATATATTCAAATGATGTTATCACTTTTCTACAATACCGTACTTTGTATTTTAAACCCGTTTAGTCTATGATGACGCAATAATTGCAACGTGCACTCGACTTCCTTTCACTGGCAGTCAGTAGGTTCAATTCTAATTATAGTTAGCCTTGAGACTGGAGTCAATAACCTCCATATTATCTAGGGCATAATATTGCAAATTAGTGTTTAAGACCTTGACCTGAGCCTTATGTTTTTTGGTATTATATATCTAGATTACCTGATTCGGGACTGCCTCGTTGGCCGAGTGGTCGCAAGTGCGACTGCCGGGCAAGGGGTCTCGGGTTAGATTCCCGGGTCGGGCAAACTATTACTGGGTTTTTGAACAAAAATCTCAGTAGTAGCACGGAGTCTGGAATTGTGCCCGGTATATGGCAATAGGCTTACTCCCTATTACATGGGACTCATAACATGAATAGTGAAAAGTGAGTGTTACATTGTACAGTGGCATAATGTGCCTACACCTCTGCCTATCCCTTCGGGGATAAATGGCGTGATGTTATGTTATTAACTAAAAATCGCGGGTTACTCACGTGAATATAATAAAGTAACCTATGGATTTTCTTGCTCGTTCTTCTCCATAAGAATTTACATCGGCTTATGGTATGAAAAAAAGTGCCTTCCTGGTCTAATTGAAATAAATGATTTTGACTTTGACTTTAGAATCTGACACTCCCTCTCGCCTCACAGGAGGAGCTATTTGATGATATGGCTCCCTCTAAAATAGGTCAGCCAAAGCACTATTGAGTATTTTAGATTTTTTGAAAATTCTCCAAATCAGCATGCTCACTTATTGAAGTTCAAAGTGGTATATTTAATCTAAATGAACTATTTGACTTCGTTTCCAGACTACTGAACAAGCTGCCGAACTCCTATGCCTTCACGAAGGCTCTCGCTGAAGCCCTCGTCGTGGAAGCCATGGAGAAAGCCAACCTGCCTGCCATGGTGCTCCGACCTTCGATTGGTAAGCAGTTTCTGAATTAACTAAAAACTACGCGTTACTCACGTAACTATACTGAGGCAAACTCTACTAGTTTCGAGTCACAGAGGGACTTTTCCTCATTAGCAGCGTGTACGGTCGCATTATACCATACTCTGCAGGAGTAGGAACGGGGTGGTGTTTAGTCAGTAAGAGTCTGACACTCCCTCTCGCCTCACCCAGGCGGGAGAAGTTATTCGATGATTTTCCTCGCTTAAGAAAAGCATGTATTTAAAAAGCTGACGGTCTACCTTCAGGAATGAGGTAGTACCAAAAGAAAATAATCGAGAGACAGCTCAATTCACAGAAATAAACGGTTGCCTCATATGAATTATTTAAAAAAAACTGTAGATACAAGTTGGTTGTGTGCTATTTGCACGCTAATCATGAATAAGAGCCCCAATATAACTTGAATTTTATCGGGCTTTTGTCGAATATTTTACTAATACAAATAAATATACTAATACAAATAATATGCTAATACAAAATAAATTCGAGTCTGTCAGTCTGTCCGTCAGTGAAGCTAGGTGAAGGTAGGTGCTCATTCCAAAATGTAGATTCGAGTTGAGAAGAACAAGCAAGAGAAACTACATTCGTTACTCTTTTACGTCGGAAAACTCCTGGGTATATTTACAACAGTAGCTTTAGACTATTTTTTTAATTATTATGTTTTCGGCTTACTCACGTAATAATTTGACGAGGAACTCGACTAGTTTCAAGCCATGCTAGGGGATCATATTCATGAGCAGCATTCCGCGACCGGCGCTGCTCCTGGCTGTAGCAGCCGGCAGCCGAGAACATAATAATTAATTTAGTATTTCTAACGAAAGTTATGTCGTGGTGAAATGTCGTGGTGGCCCGGAGGTTTAAGACGCCCGCTTCTCATGCATGAGGGTGTGGGTTCGAAACCTACCAACGACAAGTACCAATGTGACTTTTCCCGAGTTATATGTACTTTCTCAGATTATCTAGACACCACTGACAAACGGTGAAGGAAAACATCGTGAGGAAACCTGGGCTTATAATTTCTAATTATAAGTTTGTAATCGCCAACCCGCATTGAGCAAGCGTGGTGATTAATGCTCAAACCTTCTCCGTGTGAGAAGAGGCTTTGCTCAGCAGTGGGCATTTATAGGCTGTTGATGATGATGATGAACGAAAGTTATAATACAATTATTTTCTTCTTCCAGTAATTCCAATCTGGCAAGAGCCTGTTCCAGGCTGGACTGATAACATTAACGGACCCACTGGATTGCTTATTGGTAAGATTTTCATATTACATTGTGTATCGCTTTTTTCTCATCTCCCCTTATAATATCTTCTGATTCACTTCGTCGCGGGATCCAAGCCAGTTGTTCATGCCCCTGGGACGCGCCGGACTTCAGTGTTCCGGTGTTTGCATGGTTGTATCTACTGTAGATCCTGGTGCACAGGAGTTGCAGCGGTTTTGGGAGGCTGTAGCGGGTTTGTCCCATTAAAAAAAATTACATTGTGTATGAAAAAAATGCTGCCTCGTTGGCCGAGTGGTCGCAAGTGCGATTGTCGGGCAAGCGGTCTCGGGTTCGAGTCCCGAGCCAGGCAAAATAATACTGGGTGTTTTAAAAACAATTCTCAGTAGTAGCACGGAGTTTGGAATTGTGCCCGGTATACGGCAATAGGCTCACCCCCTATTACATGGGACTCTTAACATAAATAGTGAAATGTGGGTATTACATTGTACAGTGGCATTAGGTAAGTGCCGTAATTGTCCGCCTCTCACCCCTTCTGTGATAAAATGTGTGATGATATGTTATGTAAAAAAATGTAGAAAATATCTAGTATAACCGTGTTGTTATGAATTAGAAAGATCGGGATTTTAATAATGAAACAGTTTTATAAAACGAGAAATTCAGTAATAACAAATAGGTCCACATGAAGTTTCACTTCTGATTACCTATTTATCGTACCAAATGCAATTTCATAATTTTAGATTAACGTCATACCAAAATAAGTCGGTTGACGCGGTGGCTTCGCAACCGGTTGCGGGTTCGATTACCGCACTGAGCAACTCTATGTGTGATCCACAAAGTGTTGTCCCGGGACTGAGTGTGATGTGTATGTGAACTTGTATGTTTGTAAACGCACCCACGACACTAGAAAATCCTAGTATGGGGCAATGCTAAAATAATGTTTTAGATCAGTCGGTATGTCCAGATTGTTTTTCTTTATTGGTCGACGTTTGTCCACTATCTCGCCTGGTGGTAAGCGATGACGCGGTCTACGACGGAGCACGTCTCCATAAGCAACCTATTCACTTAGGACTCGAAGACCTTTCCCTTCAGGAAACAGATTGTAGTTTAAAAAGTTTTGGCTTATCAGAGAGCGATGCTGCTCAGTAGCTGTCTGTCTAAACCCTTAGCCGGGTATACGACACCCACGAGAAGAACAGGGGTGGTGACAAAAGGTTAAGTGTGGGAGAGCCATGCTTCGGCACGAATGGGCCGGCTCGACCGGAGTGATACCACGGCCTCACAGAAAACCCACGTGAAACAACGCTTGCGTTGTGTTTCGTCGTGTGAGTGAGGTTACTAATTACCCCAAGTCCGCGTCTCATAAATCCCCGAATCCCCCACATCCTTAAATTCCCAATCCCCAAAAGGCCGGTAACGCACTTGTAACGCCTTGGTGTTTCGAGTGTCAATGGGCGGTGCCGATTGCTTACCATCAGGTGATCCGTCTGCTCGTTTACCAGCTTATGCTATAAAAAAATCCTATCCTACCATCACCGTGTGTATTAAATATGAGTATTCACCTGATTTTTTTATTTCTAGGAGCTGGCAAAGGTGTGATCAGATCAATGTACTGCAAAAGTAACAGCTATGCTGATTACCTGCCTGTCGACGTTTTTATAAACGGGATCATGATAGTAGCTTGGAATTATTTGAAGAATGGGTATGTACATAACTACATACATAAATTCATCCTTTTTATTCTTTTAGTGAATCAATATGGTGTATGACTAATTTTTATTTTAATGTCCGTCTGGTAGATTATTTTAAAACATTAGACACATATTTTTTATTTTCTCGCGGAAACAAATGAACACTTTGAAGTTTGATTTGAAATGTCGCGTGACGTCACTTCTATGTACATTTTATACGTAGTAATGACGTTTTGGCCCCCACTCCTAAACTTTGATTCGTTTTATCTAAGTAGGTATTGTAACAATAGAGGACAAAATAAAAATCGAATCGAATCGATCGACGATATACTGATTTGAAATATATCGCTTGACGTCACTTTTGCTATCTTCGGTATCCTTACTAATATTATAAATCGGAAAGTGAGTTTCTTCGTTTGTTTGTTCCGCTTTAACGCCGTAACTACTGAACCGATCGCTTTGAATTTTTGCAGACGTAAAGTTAGAAGTCTGGATTAAATAATATGGTACATTTTATCCCGGAAAAATTTGGTTTTGTCGAGGGAAAACGAAATTATTGGTATAGATGGCGCTGTGTGTATTAGCATATGTCACATAGGCTTTTTATCTTTTTGTGATGCGTACGAAGCCGCGGGTAAAAGCTAGTGTTTTATAGTCGAAACTCCCATAGCTAAACTTTGACTCGTTTTATTTGTCTGAAACTCGCCCTGAAACGATTATGAAAGTCGTCTAAAGAGGAAATTTCATGAAAGAATTTTTCGTTTACATTAAAATTCGGATAAGATGAGAAAGGTGATACATCATTGTCCTTAAATTACTTGAGGATAGCCTTACAACGTAATATTACCTAGATTTATTTCAACTAAAATTAATGTAGCAGTGTAACATAGACAGAACCCACATAATTCTTCACTGTCCCGTTGAAGGGTTGATGGTCGGTTGTAAACGGTATCCTGAATTTTAATTATTATAACATAACATCACGCCTTTTATCCTCAAAGGGGTAGGCAGTGGTGCACATTATACCACTGTACAATGTAACACCCACTTTTCACTATTTATGTTATGAGTCCCATGTAATAGGGGGTGAGCCTATTGCCATATACCGGGCACAGTTCCAGACTCCGTGCTACTACTGAGAATTTTTAAAAACCCAGTAATACTTTGCCCGACCCGGGAATCGAACCCGAGACCCCTTGCTCGGCAGTCGCAATTGCGACCACTCGGCCAACGAGGCAGTCTTTAATGACAAGAAAATTACGGACGTCGTTTGGTAACATTAAAAAAAATTAAGTATCATTAGCAAACTAACTTCCCCCCTCTTCGTCGCTCGCGTTCCTTCAGAATAAAAAGTAGCCTATGTGTTTTTCCAGATCATAATCTACCCATATTCCAAATTTCATCCCGATCCCTTCAGCCGCATTGACGTGATTGAGTAACAAACATACAGACAGACAAACAAACATGTGGCGCCATCTATTGGAAACATAACATAACAGCTTCTATTTTATTTCCAGAGACAAAAAGTGCAATATAATAAACTTCACATCATCAGCTGAGATCAAGGTCACCTGGTCTGAGATGATAGATGCTGGGAGGGAGATCATCATGAACAGGGTGCCTTTGAATGGAGTTGTGTGGTAAGTAAAGAAGACATACATAGTACCATGGCTTTTATCCCTGAAGGGTTTTTTTAGGGGGGGGGGGAATCATCGAATGACTGCTCCCACCTGGGTGAGGCAGGAGGGAGTGTCAGACTCTTACTGACTAAAAACCACCTCGTTCCTACTCCGTCGAGCCGGTAACCTGTTAGGTTCTCCGCGACTCCGAATCGGCATCAGCCCTGTTGGACCTCATCCATGGTGGTCTGATGGCTCTTTGAGGCGCGCGCGGAACGCGACGCGCCGTACGCTCGGGACTGGTTCTGGTCGGACGGGGAGCCACCCATGCTCGCCGTAGGCAGAGGTGCACAATACGGCACTTAATGCCACTGTACAATGTAACACCCACTTTCCACTATTTATCTTATGAGTCCCATGTAATAGGGGTTGAGCCTATTGCCATATACCGGGCACAATTCCAGACTCCGTGAAATTAGATAAAGTAAAAAATTATCTTTCAACGTCATTAACATCAGCTAAAATATTTTTACAACGACTGAACAGATGTTTTCCTCTTTGTTTTGTCTGTAAACCCTAAGCTTTTTACTGCTTGAACAAAAATTTAAGAATGCTGGTGCCGTCTCAATATGGTATATGAGTACGCGAAATAAAACCCAATTTCCTTAGCATTCATGTCTAAATTCCTTTCGCCTCAGGTACCCAGGCGGTTCAATGAAGCATTCCAGACTATACCATAACATCTGCGTGTTCTTTTTCCACTGGATCCCAGCCTTCATCATCGACACATTACTCTTCTGTCTAGGATATAAGCCAGTGTAAGTATAATGTTAAGTACCCTAGTTTCTACCAACAGCTTTTATTAACCCCTCGAGCGTCCTTATGAGCACCCGGTGGATCATAAGAAAAAATGCTCCATACTGCTTTCTCTTTTATAAAATCAATTATTAATGTTTTGTTTTTATTTTAACTGTATTTTTTATTTCTATTGTAATGATCCTTGTTTTCGTGTGCCAATGGCCAAATAAATGGATTTTCTTTCTTTCTTTCTCCAAATGTCACGTGTGCACCCCTTGGATCATAAGGAACGCGGACGCTCGACGGGTTAAGGGAGGAAAATCATCCAATTACTTCTCCTGCCCTTGGGTTGGCGAGAGGGAGTGTCAGACTCTTACTGACTAAACACCACCCCGTTCCTTCTCCTGCTTCGCTTTGCCCGCGAGTTGTTATGTTAATGTTAATGAATATTATTATTTTTCAGACTATGTCGTGTACAGCGCCGTATCACCAAAGGTTTTGAAGTATTTGAGTACTACACGAACAACCAATGGGACTTCAAGTCTGACATCGCACAGACATTGAGACAGAAACTCAATGCAAAAGAGAGACGGGACTATAAAGTCGACGCTGTGGGTGAGTGAGATAGATAGGCAAAGATTTTAATTATATTAGTTTACATCGCCCTTGGCACAGGTGTACATTACGGCACTTAATGCCACTGTACAATGTAACACCCACTTTTCACTATTTATGTTATGAGTCCCATGTAATAGGGGGTGAGTCTATTGCCATATACCGGGCAAAATTCCGGCCTCCGTGCTACTACTGAGAATTTTTTTAAAACCCAGTAATACTTTGCCCGACCTGGGAATCGAACCCGAGACCCCTTGCCCGGCAGTCGCACTTGCGACCACTCGGGCAACGAGGCAGTATGCAGGTCGAGTAAAATAAAATTACGTCACCACCCCTGCTCGCGGCTGTATACTTGACCACGTGGCTACATATACCTCTAGAACAAACACTTGGGGCAGCAGCGCTCTCTCGTAGATTAAACGATAGAATATTATGATGCCATGCCATGAGCTGGTCTTATGATGGAAGATTAAAGGAACCTTGGACTGCCTACTAGTTAATATATCGAGTTTTGAGCTCGTTAGTAAAGTCTATTTCTTCTGCTGACGAGGATAATGATTCAAAGCATAGTTTTAGCTTATTAAACTAATAGTAAGTAAAGTAGTAGGCAAAGTATTACTGGGCTTTTAAAAAATATTACTCAGTAGTAGCACGGAGTCTGGAATTGTGCCCGGTATATGGCAATAGACTCACCCTCTATTACATGGGACTCATAACATAAATAGTGAAAAGTAGGTGTTACATTGTACAGTGGCTTTGTGCACCTCTGCCTATCCCTTCGGAGATAAAAGGCGTGATGTTATGTTAAGTTATGTTATGTCGCCCTGCATACAGCCTATGCTTACTATGATATTTTTTATGTTCAACAGGTCTGGACATCTCGAAATATTTTGAAGACTGCATCAGAGCCGCTCGGGTCTTCATTCTGAAGGAGTATGATGACACCCTGCCAGCTGCTAGAAGACATATGAGAATGTGAGTATGCTACTTGTAAAAGGGGTGGGCAGAGACATTGTTCCTACGACAAACTAGGCAATCATCTGGGGCGCCAGGTCGCAAAGCGCCGCGAAATGCGCATACCAACTGTACTACTGAGCACCTAGCTTCATACGGACTGACTGACAGACTATTATTTATTTTGTACTAGCTTTCACCCGCGGCTTCGCTCGCGTCACAAATGGATAAAAAGTAGCCTATGTGACTATACCAATACTTTTGTTTTCCCTCGAGAATATCAATTTTTTTCGCGATAAAAAGTACCCTATTATTTAATCCAGACTTCTAACTTTACCTTTGCAAAAATTCAAAGGAATCGGTTTAGTAGTTACGGCGTGAAAGTGGAACAAACAAACAAACAAACTCACTTTCCGATTTATAATACTGTATTAGTAAGGAAGTAAGGATTTATTGACGTTTCAAAAGTACTAAATGATGGTTTAATTGAAATAAATGCTTTGACTTTGACTTTGACCATAAAGTGGAGGTGGTGCCAAAAGATATTAGGGGCGCGTATAAGGTGCTTGCCTAGGATGCTCTCTATGTTTAATCTACTTCTGGGAGTAAGCAGAAGTCTAACCTAAAAATACCAGGGGAATTGGAAACAATTCCTTGGCTTTTTCTCTTATAATATCTTCTGATTTATTTCGTTGCGGGATCCAAGACAGTTGTTCATGTCCCTGGGACGTTGGACTTTAGTGTTCCGGTGTTTGCATGGTTGATCTTAATGTAAAGAAGGTGCAGAACGCAATGGTAGCAGAGTCAAAATAGGGTAGTTTCCTAAACTTTATTTTAATATCCGTCTGGTACATTAATTTAAAACATTAGACACGTATTTTTTCTTTTCTCACAAAATTTAATACTTTCGACGATATATTAATTTGAAATATCGTGTGACGTCATAGCGTGCCACATTTTGTAGTACGTTATGACGTAACGACCTCCCGCTTCTAAACTTAGCGCCATTTTATCTAAGTATTGCAATATGAGAAAATAAAAAAATACGTGTCTAAAACTTTTTCAGTATCTAACTGACGGACTAATTAGATTTTTAATTTTGATACCCTGGAAACTACCCAATTCTAAACTTTATTTTTTCGTAAAAACTTTTTGCCTTTAGAAAACTAATCCATCTATACCAGCAAATACAAAAACTTAACTCCAATTCTCATTTACAGAATGTACTGGGTCGACGTGATAGTCAACTGCCTGTTCTGGGGTTTCCTGCTGTACTGGCTCAGCGGATGGATGACCACATCCAAAGCCATCGTCCCTGACACCGCCACACCCACTGTCATAGCCATGGACGCATAAACACCGCCATCTTGGACGTATGAAGTTTGACAGCTGTCACTTTTGACACCTGTCACTTTTGTCACCTGTCATTTTTGACAGGTCTTGTCAAAGTGTATTATCGCTAAATTTGAGTGTTGCTATTCTTTATTTTAAAGAAGTAAATAGTAATTTAAGTAAATAAATTGTTTGTTTTAGGATTGTGATTTGTGTGTTGAATATTATTGGATAGGTATTTGTGTAATGTAGCTTTATGATACTGAGTAACATTTTATAATTTGTAAAGAATTAACTGAAAATAATAGCAGTGTGTGTTACGTCCCTCCGTGACTCGAAACTAATAGAGCTTTTCTCAGTACCTTTTTACGCGAGTAACTCGTTCATTTTAGTTAATTCAGTTTGTTTCACGATATTATAAAGTTTTATAATAATGATATTTGTAATAAAAGACTTAAAAATGGGTAATACGCAGCACATAAATAATTATTGGGCAAGCGATAAAACGCCAAATGCTACGATTCTGACATACCTCTTTCGCTTCACTTGAGCGCGTCAATTGAGGGGGCTTCTAAGTTAGCCACTTTTAAATAAGTCTCATATTCATCTTATAATTCTATTCGTCTATTCAGTGGCATAACTAGAGGGTGGCAAGTCAGCAAAATGCCATGGGCCCCCGTTGGAATGGGACCCCGTTTAGAGCTTTGCATTGGAACTTCTTTGTTTTTCATTGGGAACGGGGGCCCATACGATGAATTTACCACGGGCCCTGCAAGGGAATAGTTACGCAGTAACATCTCTGATTCTTTTGTCTATAGTTTTCCACGGATATGTAAAAAATTATGCTGTCTTCATTTGTTAATCTAAGGTGTAGGCATTATTGTATTAGGTTTAAGATTTTAAATAGGTACTCCTAATACGTACCTGCATTGTAAGACTCTGAAAGACCTGAAGTTTAGGTTTTAGATATAATTAAATATACGATTTTGTACCTAGATTGAATACTTATTTTGTAAATAAATTCATTGATGAAAAATACGTACTCGTTTTATTTATTACTAGCGACCTGCTCCAGCTTCACATGCAATATGCCTGTACCTATTATACATATAAACCTTGCTTAAGAATCACTCTATATATTTAAAAAAACCGCATCAAATTCCGTTGCGTAGTTTTAAAGATCTAAGCATACATAGGGACAGACAGACGGAGGATAGCGACTTTGTTTTATACTATGTAGTAAATATACAGCACATTAATTGGCCACAGCTGACCAAAGGAATTTTCTTTTAGCATTAATCAGCACCATCATCAACAGCCTATAAGCCACTGCTGACAAAAGGCCACTTCTCACAGGAAGAAGGTTTGAGCATTAATCACCATGCTTGCTCAATGCAGGTTGGCAATTTCAAACTTACTTAAAAGCCCAGGTTTTATTATTATTTTCTTCACGATATTTTCCTTCACCGTTTGTCAGTGGTGTCGAAATTAATTATCTTACAAAGTACATATAACTTGGAAAAGTCACATTGGTACTTGCCGTTGGTAGGTTTCGAACGCGCACCCTCATACATGGGTGGCGGGGGTCTGAAACCTCCGGGCCGACACGATCTAGGTCTATATTATGCTCTTATGGTGTTTCAGGTGTTTGTGGACGGCACTGATTGCTTACCATCAGGTGATCCGTCTACTGGTTTACCCCTATTCCAAAATAAAACTAAACTTCTATGTTGATCATTGGTCGAATAGTCTCAAAAGTATAACTGAAACCTGAAGCTCCGGGTTCGATTACCGGATCAATTCCGGTTCGGATACCGTCAACGCAGTCAAATTAAAATATTGACTGCGTTGACGCAACTAGTCTAGCAAGCCAGAGTTTTTATTTTGTAAAATACGTGTTAAGTATTTTTTTAAGCTGTATTTGATGAATAAAAGTTGTTTATCATTGTGGTCCAGAGGTTTAAGACGCCCGCTTCTCATGAATGAGGGTGCGGGCTCGAAACCTACCGACGGCAAGTACCAATGTGACATTATCCGAGTTATATGTACTTTCTAAGATTATTTGGACACCACTGACAAACGGTGAAGAAAAACATCGTGAGGAAACCTGAGCTGATAATTTCTAATTATAAGTTTGAACTCAATAACTGCATTGAGCAAGCGTGGTGATTAATGCTCAAACTTTCTCCGTGTGAGAAGCTTTGCTAACCAATGGGCACTTATAGGCTGTAATGGGTGACGAATAAAACCAACTGTAATCATCTATTATGCACATTTTTTATTATTTGATATTTAAAATTATTTATCTTAATCAGTGTAGACTTACACGGAAACATATTTAATAACTTAAATATAAAAAAATCTCATAAAAAACATAATATTTGATGTGCAAAACTTTTGCTTTTAATAAAAATATGACACAAATAATTATGTTGACAAGTCTACAGTCAAGGACATTAAAAAAAGGCGAACATAATGTCATTTAGAACTGATTGAAGCACCAAAATGTCAGTGGTGTATCTATGTGTGCGTGTGTAATGGGTTACCACGTTACTAGAGCCTTAGTACGAGATTATTTTTCGTAAATAATATGCGTTCGGGGCTCTGATTGGTTGCTTCATTGGCCAATCAGAGTGCCAAGCACGAATAACTATCGCATTCGTAACGTAATAGTATCGAGCGCGTTCGGCGCTCTGATTGGCCGGCTCAAGAGAACCAACCAATCAGAACGCTTAACTCGCTCGATACTGTTACGATACGAATGCGATAGTTATTCGTGCTTGGCCCTCAGAGCGCCGAACGCGTACTCGTTACGAATACTATAAACGTAAATGAAACTCGTACTAAGACTTTAGACTTAGGAAAATTACAGATGTCCTTCGTGTCAATGTGTGTGTGTGTTCTGCGTGTAAGTCTATAGTAGCCAGGTGCTACAGTCGTTGTTTCAAGAGACTATGCCCACCTTTATTCAAACGTCCTTGTTTATTATAATGTATAGTTTTTCAATGATCAACCAAATAAATTAGCTAATAATTTTTGTTTTTATAATAACTATCGTGAGACATACAAAATTAAGTAAAATTGCGGGTTACTCACGTGAATATATTGAGAAAAGGTCTACTAGTTTTAAACCACAGAGGGGTTTTTCCTCATGAAGAACGCGGTGGTCGCGGCGACGTCGCGCAGCTCACTGAACTAATAGACCTTTTCTTAGTATATTCACGTGAGTAACTCGCGATTTTAGTTAATTTAGCAAATAATTGTAGAAAATAAAAAACGATTTGTTTTTAAATTACTTAATCAGTTCATTCTGTTTATTTTTTGAGAATATCTTCAACTTATATGTAAAAAAAATAGTATATTAGTCATATTTTCATTTTTTTATAATGTCTACGTCGGTATTTATGGGTATTTTAAGGAGAGTCATTGAAAAACTATCATTATTTATAAAATCATTACAACTTAAAATATTTGGTGGATTGTTCAATATGAAGGAAAATATTGAAATAATTATAACCATACATTTTATAGCAATACAGGTACTTTTTATATGTCTTAAAAACTATTACATAATGTGTGGTTGATTCAAAAAATATAAAACAGAAATCAATTACCGAAAAAAAATTTAATGTCACTAAAACCAAAAACCAACATATTTTTTGATTTGTGACTAACACAATTTATCTGACTTGACATTTTGTCTGACATGACATGTGATATGATTTAATTTCTATTTTTACATAATATCATCTGAAATTTTACATAAATATAGTATTCATGATATTTAATTTAAGTATACATATTTTTTAAAGATTTCACATTTGTTTTTACATGGTGGATAGGTGAAATAAAATGAGTATTTTATAGGGATTCTTTGCTTAATAAGTATAATTATTTTAAAGCCTATTTTAATATCTTTTTAACCTTTTGACCGCCACAGTCACATGATGATAACAAATCCAAATGTAATTAAGTCCTAAAACTCTTTTAATTTCTTTCTATACATTTCATTAAGATAACATAATAAATTATTTCAATTTGACAGGAACAGAGAAATAAAATTCATTTTGAATATCTAACGGTTCATCTGACATTCTTATAGTCTTAAGAAAACGTATTTGACATTTTCACTTTTTGACATTTTGTTTTGTTTTGACATTTGACATGATTGCAATCTGTGTTTTTGGACTTGGCTGTCAAAATGCTAAAACTTAATTTTGAGGACTAAATGGTTAAATTTATTTACAAAAATATCTTGTGGTTCTATTCTACCGTAGGCGTCCAGCTAAAAATCTAAATACGTAGTATCCTGTAGCCGCTTGGAAAAGCTTGTGGACCCAATATAGCCTGAAAAATACATGAGAAATCAGATACAAACGAATTATGTCAACGTACTCCTACCATTTTCACAGGACTTCCGACTTTAAATGAATACATTAAAGTTGAAAATTGAATTGGGCAAAAAGAGTAGCTTGATCGGCTGACAGCTGCGCTTTATGACATAGAGCACTCTACTCAGACTGCCAAATAATAGGTAAGTTTTGGTTTCGACTTTCGGATAAAGTATCTAAAGGATTACATAACATAACATCACGCGTTTTATCCTCAAAGGGGTAGGCAGAGGTGCACATTATGCCGCTGTACAATGTAACACCCACTTTTCACTATTTATGTTATGAGTCCCATGTAACAGGTGGTGTGCCATATACCGGGCACAGTTCCAGACTCCGTGCTACTACTGAGAATTTTTTAAAAACCTAGTAATACTTTGCCCGACCCGGGAATCGAACCCTGCGACTGCGACTGCTAAGCAAGGGGTCTCCCCTTGCTTAGCAGTCGCACTTGCGACCACTCGGCCAATAAGGCAGTCTAACGGATTAATAGTATATAAATCGCAAATTCGATTTCATGATTTTCAGATTTTTAGACTTTACGGTTCCTGAAATTCTCAGGAATGGCACGGTTGGCGCGGTGGCTGGTCAACCGGCTGCCGCGCAACGTGTTGTGTTCGATTCCCGCACGGAACAACTCTTTGTGTGATCCACAGATTGTTGTTCCGGGTCTGGGTGTCATGTGTATGTGAACTTGTATCTTTGTAAACGTACCCACGACACGGGAGAAAATCCTAATGTGGGGCAACGTGTTTTTAAAAATAAAAAAATGTCTAAGATAGAAATCTACTATACCTGACGAAGTGCGACATCACATTGATCATATTTAATCAATTAAAACGTAACTGTGCCTGGTATATGGCAATAGGCTCACCCCCTATTACATGGGACTCATAACATAAATACTGAAAAGTGGGTGTTACATTGTACAGTGGCATTAAGTGCACCTCTGCCTACCCCTTTGAGGATAAAAAGCGGATGCCTTTGTTCAGGAATCGACGTATTGTGGCTAATAATTTTTCTGATCAAGATTATCTAGCAAAACATCTTTCATAATACTTACCGCCTCAGCTTAGTCCTCGCGACTGGCAGAGATTCAGCCGTATCCTTAAGTATATATCTCCTTATCCCAAACATATATGCTCCTATGTAAGAATCCCAGTCAAAATCAGCCGGCCAATGGGGAAAGGCGCCAGAGTCTCTGGCATAACTGGCATCGTCGTGCAAAGCTGTCAACTCAGCGATGCCAAACTGCCATTCGTGGTTGGCAAAGTATTCTCCGGTTGCCGCCGCCATTTTGAAACGACGTGCCAGTTTCATCATTCTGGAAAAGTAATTATTTTAAAACTATAACTGTATAATATAGACTTCTTATAAGTTTGAAATCGCCAACTCGCATTGAGCTAGCGTCATGGTGATTAATGCTCAAACCTTCTCCGTGTGAAAAGAGGCGTTTGCTCAACAGTGACCACTTATAGGATGATATTTCGACTATAATTGTGACTATGACTATGAAAGTGGGTGTTACATTGTACAGTGGCATTAAGTGTCGTAATGTGCACCTCTGCCAACCCCTTGGGGGGTGTAATGACTATGATTATAACCAGACTATGATTATTAGGTATAACATTGTTTTTATAATAACGGTCGGCTTCACGACGTTGCCGCGCACGCTGTTTATGAGGAGAGTTCTACTGTGAGTCGAAACTAATAGAGCTTTTCTCAGTATATTTACGTGAGTAACGATATTTTTAGATAATAAGGTATGACATTTTTAAATACTTTTGGACTACAAACAAAGATTGTGTCCGGTGTTGTATGTTATACAACACATCCAAGCCCGAATCAACTAATGCTGGATTAAAAGAATTGAAATAGAACCCACACCCGCACATTTTACGTGTGGGAGAGCCATGCTTCGGCACGAATGGGCCGGCTCGACCGGAGTGATACCACGGCCTCACAGAGGACCGGCGCAAAACAACGCTTGCGTTGTGTTTCGTCGTGTGAGTGAGGTTACCGGAGGCCCAATTACCCCCCCCCCCTTCCTAATCTCCCCAATCCCCGAATCCCCAACCATCCTCAAACTCCTAACCCCCAAAAGGCCGGTAACGCCTTTGGTGTTCCAGGTGTCCATGGGAGACTCCGATTGCTTACCGTCAGGTGATCCGTCAGCTCGTTTACCGGTTTATGGCATAAAAAAAACACGTTTCCTAGCTGTTCATTCCACCATTGTATCAAATAAGCAGACACAATATGTCATATGCGTTGTTCATGTACCTCTACATACGCTCAACTTAATGCTGAGATGGAGGCCCTTTTGGCAACGGCACGCGCCGTTAAATGTTATTTATTTATTTATATCTTGTTGTTATTAATTTTTAATTACTGTGTTATTATTCTATTGTCACTGTGTTGTTATACTCTGTCGTTTCTTTGTGTTTTTTCTTATCTTATACTATTATATAAAGCGGAAGAGTTTGTTTTTTTGTTTGTTTGTTTGAACGCTCTAATCTCCGTAACTACAAGTCTGATTTAAATAATTCTTTTTGTGTTGGATAGCGCATTTATCGAGGATGGCTATAGGCTATAAAACATCACGCTATGACCAATTGGAGCTGAGAAGAGCGTGTGAAACCGCGCGGAAGTAGCTAGTATCTATATAAATATGTGTATTCATTTGTTCTTTTCTTCTTAATTTTGTATTTTTTTGTATCTGTGTGCGTGTCTACTGTCGAATAAATGTTTTTTCTTTCTTTCTTTCTTTCATAGTTAAAAAAGCCAGGTTGCTTCCAACCTCGTGATGTGTAGTCATTGGGGGGAGGACTGTGGGGGGCGGTCGACAGTACGTGGCTGTACGCATGATGATAATCAATAAAGGTATACTCACATAGCCTTCCGTCCTTGAGCTCTGAGCAGCAGATCATACATGAAAGCTGGCAGGAAATGACAGGTGATCTCCCAGAACGTGTTCATGAACCTCGATTCAGTGAAAGCGAAGTTCGGGTACCACATCACGTATCTATAAAGAAGTTCACAATTTAACCTTCACAATCTTTAGTACTTAAAAATGTCGAGGTTTAAATCAAAGTCAAAGTTAAAGTTAAAGCATTTATTTCAATTAATCCATGATTTGGTACTTTTGAAATGTCAACAAATACAAAATAAATAATAGTCTGTCAGTCAGTCCGTCAGTGAAGCTAGGTAAGACGCCTGCTTCTCATGCATGAGGGTGCGGGTTGAAACCTACCAACGGCAAGTACCAATGTGACATTTTCCGAGTTATATGTACTTTCTAAGATTATCTAGACACCACTGACAAACGGTGAAGGAAAACATCGTGAGGAAACCTGGGCTTATAATTTCTAATTATAAGTTTGGAATCGCCAACCCGCATTGAGCAAGTGTGGCGGTTAATGCTCAAACCTTCTCCGTGTGAGAAGAGGCTTTACTCAGCAGTGGGCATTTATAGGCTGTTAATGTGAATCTACCCCTGTTCCAAATTTCATCCCTATCCCTTCAGCCGTTGTTACATCATTGAGTGACAAACACACATACACACATACAGACAAACAGACAAACTTTCACACATAACATAACATCACGCCTTTTATCCCCGAAGGGGTTGGCAGAGGTGCACATTATGCCACTGTACAATGTAACACCCACTTTTCACTATTTATGTTATGATTCCAATGTAATAGGGGGTGAGCCTATTGCCATATACCGGGCACAATTCCAGACTCCGTGCTACTACTGAGAATTTTTTAAAAACCCAGTAATACTTTGTCCGACCCTGGAATCGAACCCGAGACCCCTTGCCCGGCAGTCGCACTTGCGACCACTCGGCCAACGAGGCAGTCTTACAAACTAACAAGCTTACAAACTTTCGCTTTTATAATATCAGGTAGAAAACTCACTTGGTCGGGTTCTCTAATGCCCATTTGACGCAGAGCTTGGTGAACTGTCCCCATTGGAGGGGGTTGATGGACCCTGAGGTTACGTTGTACACTGGGCAGCGACCTGGCCTGGAAACATTTCGAAGTTATATTGAAAATACTGTATGAATAAAGTAATAATCCTTACTAATATTATAAATCTGAAAGTGAGTTTGTTTGTTTGTTTGTTTGTTCCACCTTCACGCCGTAACTACTCAACCGATTGCTTTGAATTTTTGCAGACGTAAATTTAGAAGTCCGGATTAAATAATAGGGTACTTTTTAACCCGGAAAAATCGATATTCCCAAAGAAAAACAAAAGTATTGGTATAGATGGCGCTGTATGTATTAGTATAATATGTCACATAGGCCACTTTTTATTCTTTTGTGACGCGAGCGAAGCCGCGGGTAAAAGCTAGTAGTACTATAAATACAAATAACTAAAAACTAAACTATTTACAACCTAAAGTTACCTTAAAAAAAAATAATAGTAATGTTAGCTGAAGGCAACAAAAAACCTTTCCTCATCGCTACCGTGAGGTAGGGTGCCAAAAAGACTGGCAGCATTGCCACGTTGAATGGCAATGCTTAACCTTTGCCCAAGGTAGTAGCCAGCCCTTCGATTACCTGAAGTGTCAACCATCCTCCTTACAATATCTTTGTGTAATATGTGCACTTGGGCCCCACGGCCCTAAAGTTTCGAGACCAAACGGTTCGAAAGCATAATTGCCAATCAGGCTATTATACTTTCGCCGTTTGAAGTTCTCGGCAGCAGCAGCGACACCACCGGCTCGACACGCTGAGCTAGGAAGTCGAGATGGCGCCAAAGTGGCGTCCGCGTCGTCCCATACTAAAGGCCTACCCATCTTCTATTTATGCCACTCAACACCAGAGGAATTAGAGATACATCCTCGCCATTTCTTGAAATTCTTCAGACCTTCAAAAAAAAACGCTATTTTCTTGAAGGTCTGAAGGTCGTTAAGGCAATACTTACTGCTTAACTCCTTGCCTCCAAGCAGCCAGGATGCAAGAGTTGACGACCATGTCGACTGGTACCAGGTCCACCACGTACCGCTCCCGGCAATACCCTGAGCGATAGGTTCCCCGCGATATCTCCATTATGATGCCTGGAAGAAGAAACAGAGGATTGCGATTCATTTTCCCCATCCGCTCTGTATACTTCTTTCTTATACACACCAACTAAATACTATACACTTTAAGAATACCTACTTACATTTTACACTAACCCACTAATATATTATATACTTAATCCATACATCCCCAAGCGGTCACCGGTGACCGCTCTCCACTAACTACATTATAGACCTTATTTCCAATGTTTAGAAACTACTTTTGTATGAACAAATTTAGGGGATGAATTTCAATATTCAGAACAAATCAATTAAAAAAATAAATTCATTTAAGAATAAGAATAAGTATGTATTAACATGCAAATACTGACTTTAAGTTTGAGTTCGTTACTCTACTTTCATCCATCCTTTCTACATATCCAAACCAGCGTAACATTCCCTTTTCAATCCTTGTCACTACATCATGTTTCAATCTGTTATAAGTAAGTATATATATGTCTATGAGAAGAAATGCTTACCGGTAACACCATAAACGTTGTCGATCCATCCTGGATAGGGCTCTTGCAGGGCAGCAGTTACTGAAAAGAAAAGAAAAAAGGATAAAGCCTCAGCATTTCTTAATTTTTTTTTGAGTTCTTTCATCATTAAATGATTTCTCCCGCCTGGGTGAGGCGGGAGTGAGTGTCAGACTCTTGCTGACTAAACACCACCCCGTTCCTACTCCTGCACTTTAAGCCGAACGGTAACCTTTTACATTCTCCGCGGCTTCGTGTCGGCATCAGCCCTGCTGGGTCATCTGTGGTAATCTGATGGCTTGTTGAGGCGCGCGCAGAACGGTACGCACCGTCCGCTCGGTTTTTTATGGGTTAAGCCAGTAAACGAGCTGACAGATCACCTGGTGGGAAGGAATCGGCGTCGCCCATGGACACCCGCAACACCATAGGCGTTTTTTTTTGTTTTAAGGGGAAAATCATCGATTGACTACTCCCGTCTGGGTGAGGCGGGAGGGAGTGTCAGGCGTAACAAGTGCGATATCGGCCAAATAATACAATTTACTTTTTATTAAATTTAAAATGTACACCTCTGCCTACCCCTTCAGATAATGAAACCTCCATAATATCATGTTCAATAATAATGCCATAATGACCTTTTCTTTGCATTCACCATGAACTATTAAATACGCCAATGGTATCGATTTTCACGACATCAATTCTCAAATAGCGATTCCATTTAAAAATTCATGATACCCTTCAGTCTTCAGGCCTGAAATATCGATTTCAGTTGTTATAAGAACTTAAGCCTTGTGTATGATGGTAAAGAAGAATACAATGTCACCTCCCCTACTCTTCGGGTGTTATATACCTAAGGGACTACACATTTGACAGAGACCGGGCAACGCTATGTTCAACCGAGGGTGGAGACTATGGCAAACCCTCTTATGCAGAGGAGGCTCATTGTCAAGATCAAGTAATCGGCGCCTCCCATGGACTAAAGAAGTTACTAGTGACATTTTGGGGGTAACTTACTATATCACATGGAACTCATAACATGTCATAATAGATGAAAAGCAGGTGGTTCATATCGTGGTGGCCCGGCGTTTTAAGACTTCTCATGCACGAGGGTGCGGGTTCGAAACCTACCAACAGCAAGTACCAATGTGACTTTTTCTGAGTTATATGTACTTTCTGATTCAGACGCCACTGACAAACGGTGAAGGAAAACATCGTGAGCTTATAATTTCTAATTATAAGTTTGTAATCGCCAACCCGCATTGAGCAAGCGTGGTGATTAATGCTCAAACCTTCTCCATGTGAGAAGAGGCTTTGCTCAGCAGTGGGTATTTATAGACTGTTGATGATGAGATGGTTCATACATTATACACGAAACTACACCTTTTTTTTAAAGAGGGATAATCACCCAATGACTTCTCCTGCCCTGAAAACCCAGTAATACTTTGCCCTCAGTCGCACTTGCGACCACTCAACGAGGCTGTCTACATAAAGTACTATGTTTTAAAATGTCATCTTTTCTTCAATATCTGCTAACCACAGCCAGATAAGCAGTTGTGATGATATGACTATCGTTATATAACAGTTATGTTGACATGTCTGCTAACCGCTTTCTCGTAACTAGTTTCTAGATAAGTTACATTGAGTAATAGGCCATGTTGTTTGTAACGAGTTGACCTATAAAGTTATAGTATTTACGTAACATCACGCTTTTTATCCCCGAAAGCGTGCAGATTACGGCAGTTAATGTCACTGTACAATGTAACACCCACTTTTCACTATTTATGTTATGAGTCCCATGTAATAGGGGGTGAGTGTATTGCCATATACCGTGCACAATTTCAGACTCCGTGCTACTACTGAGATTAAAAAAAAAACCAGTAATACTTAGCCTGGCACTCGCGTCCGCTCGGCCTATGAGGCAATATAAATATTTGTTTTTTTATGGCATAAGCCGGTAAACGAGCAGACGGATCACCTGATGGTAAGCAATCGGCGTCGCCCGTGGACACCCGAAACACCAAAGGCATCACAAATGTGTTACCGGCCTTTTGGGGATTAGGAGTTTGAGGATCGTTGGGGATTCAGGAATTGGGGAGATTGGGGAAGGTAAGTGCCGAAGCATCGCTCTCCTACACTTAAATACAGTATTTACTAATGTAATAAAGCCCTTGGCAGAGGACGACCTAGTGATTTACTGCGGCTCCGGTAGCAGGAGTAGGAACGGGGTGGTGTTTAGTCAGTAAGAGTCTGACACTCTCTCGCCTTATACAAGGGGAGTCATTGGATGATTTTTCCCCCTTAAAAAAGAGATAGATACGTTAATCCATTGCTGGACTTATAATCCAGCGTCCTCTACATAAGGGGGGTTTGACATTGCCTACCTTAGCAGGCGTCAAAGTCAAAATCGAGATTGCAGTATCAAAGTTTCAAGATCATCAGAGAGCGCTCATACCCAGTCTATGTTATGGAGTCTTTTAGATAAGTCGGGTATAAGATACCCACGGAAAGAGTAGCGGTGGAAAATCTACTCTGCCGTCATACCAAACTTAGTTATCCTTATTTAATTGATTTTCAATTATATTACTTTGTAATAGGTTTCAAAATTAATTGTAGAAGCTACTTCGTTCAGTGACCTTATACTTTTTGAAGGACATACATACATACGTACATATACATAAAAGGTATGTACATTATGTGAGACGCCATATAAATGTATTTAATATGTGACATGCATACTATAATTATATATTAATTAATTTGATCTAAGTACCCATGAACGTGCGTAATAGACTGCTTCAATAGAAACGTTGACACAACCACGAGATCAAAGTCAAAGTCAAAGTCAATATAATTTATTTCAAATAGACCAGAAAGGCACTTTTTTATACCATAAGCCGGTAAACGAGCAGACGGATCACCTGATGGTAAGCAATCGGCGCTGCCCATGGACACCAGAGGCGTTACAAGTGCGTTACAGGCCTTTTGGGAATTGGGAATTTGAGGATTGTGGAGGATACGGGGATTCGGGAGACTATAGACTAGGGACCGGTAATTGGGCCTCCGGTAGCCTCACTCACACGACGAAAGACAACGCAAGCGTTGCTTCACGTCGGTTTTCTGTGAGGCCGTGGTATCACGGCTGCGCTCGCGCCGCGCTGTGTCCGATTCCCGGACGGAACAACTCATTGTGTCATCCACAGATTGTTATTCTGTGTCTGGGTGTCGTGTGTATGTGAACTTGTATGTTTGTAAACGCACACACGACACAGGAGGAAATCCTAGTACGTGGCAACGTATTTTTAAAGAAAAAGTAAAAGACGCGATTGCCTCATTGGCCGAGTGGTCGCAAGTGCAACTGCCGGGAAATGGGTCTCGGGTTCGATTCCCGGGTAGGGCAAAGTACTACTGAGTTTTAAAAAAAAAATCGCAGTGGTAGCACGGAGTTTGGAATCGTGCCCGGTATATGGCTATAGGCTCACCCCCTATTACATGGGACTCATAACACAAATAGTGAAAAGTGGGTGTTACATTGTACAGAGGCATTAAGTGCCGTAATCTGCACCTCTGCCTACCCCTTCGGGGATAAAAAGGCGTGATGTTACGTCATGTTAAAAGAAGTTTCAAAATCGATTCAGCAGTTTCTGAGATTACCCGCCTGAACGTGACAAACTCACGAACGCTTATATCTTAAGAATATTAACACAGTATAACAATATATAGATTTATAGTATATGTCATTGTCCCTATTAGAACTATGGTTAAGTTGTAATTAACATACAACATACGAATATAGTCGGACAGACAGACAGCTGTGAATTATCAATGTAATAAAATTAAACCTTTATAGCGTCTCAACGGCTTGGATAAAACTATTGTCAGTTTCATTTATGGCATTCATTTCGAAGCATGAGTAGCGAGAGAAGTAGGAACGGAGTGGTTTTTAGTCAGTAAGAGTCTGACACTCCCTCTCGCCTAACCCAATAATAAGGACTTTCCTTACCAAACCAATAAAACTGTGTAACTGAAGAATTGTATTGTGAAACTGATTGGAAAAGAGTAACCTATGGAGTTTCTTGCTCGTTCTTCTCCATAGGAATCTACACCTTGGAATGAGCAAATAGCTTCACTTTTAAATTTCTATTGCTGACGTTCAAAAGTGCCTTCCTGGTCTAATTGAAATAAATGATTTTTTGACTTTTTTGACGTTTTTTACTTTCAATAATAATAATACCGAAAAAAATACACAGATAATAATAATACCGAAAAGAATTAAAACACATTACAGATTTAAAAGAGGAAATAATCAGAATCTGGAAGATTATCAGAGTATACATTGTGACTCTGGTGCTATCTAGCACCGGTAATACCTACACACCTTTATCAGTACATACAACAAATTGAACTACCTCAAAATCCTTACTAATATTATAAATCGGAAAGTGAGTTTGTTTGTTTGTTTGTTCCGACTTCACGCCGTAACTACTAAACCGATTGCATTGAATTTTTGCAGACGTAAAGTTAGTAGTCTGGATTAAATAATAGGGTACTTTTTATCGCGAAAAAATTTGATATTCCCGAGGGAAAACAAAAGTATTGGTATAGATGGCGCTGTATGTATTGGTATGTGTCACATAGGCTACTTTTTATCCTTTTGTGACGCGAGCGAAGCCGCGGGTAAAAACTAGTACGTATATAACTATGCAAAAAGCCACAATCCTAAACACGTGCAGAATAGTTCGCAAATTCCTACAAGACGACGCGAATATTGAACCGAATCAATTAAATGAAACTCACTTGGCTTAGGCCCGAGGTTTCATTATTACCGACATTCCTAAAATGTCGAGAATAACAAAAGTTTGACCACAATCCTTATTTATATTATAAATCGGAAAGTGAGTTTGTTTGTTTGTTCGACTTTAACGCCGTAACTACTAAACCGATTGCTTTGAATTTTTGCAGATGTATGTTAGAAGTCCGGATTAAATAATAGGGTACTTTTTATCTCGGAAAAAATTGTTATTTCCGAGGAAAAACAAAAGTATTGGTATAGATGGCGCTGTGTGTATTGGTATATGTCACGTTGGGTTTTTATCCTTTTGTGACGCGAGCGAAGTCGCAGGTAAAAACTAGTACGTATATAACTATGCAAAAAGCCACCATCCTAAACACGTGCAGAATAGTTCGCAAATTCCTACAAGACGACGCGAATATTGAACCGAATCAATTAAATGAAACTCACTTGGTTTAGGCCCGTGGTTTCATTATTACCGATACCGACATGCCTAAAATGTCGAGAAAAACAAAAGTTTGAACACAATAATAATAATAAGTTCAGTTTCTGCCACACAGCTTACGTAACAAGCAGTGATTCTGCTCCGAGGGTAAGAAACTATACGTAAGTCGCGAGTGGGTCAGGCATGCAGGAGGTTTCGGCTGGAGCAGGTGATCTAAGTAGAAAGCGGTGGTAGTTTCTTAACCCTTCAGCCACTCACATTCTCATTGTCCGTCTGTTGCTATATCTAGCAATTTTCTAAGAATATCTAGACACCACTGACAAACGATGAAGGAACAGATTGTAAGGAAACCTGGGCTTATAATTTCTAATTATAAGTTTGTAATCGCCAACCCGCATTGAGGAAGCCTTTGTGATTAATGCTCAAACCTGCTTACGTGAGAAGAGGCTTTGCTTAGCAGTAGGCATTTATAGGCTGTTCATGATTCTTAAGTAGTGAGTATTTAAAATGTACAGATTTTTTTAAGGGGGCAAAATCCTCGAATGACTGCTCCCGCCTAGGGTGAGGCGGGAGGGAGTGTCAGACTCTTACTGACTAAAAACCACTCCGTTCCTACTCCTGCACGTCGAGCCGGAGCCCCGGTAACCCGTTAGGTTCTCCGCGACAAAATGTAGGAAATAGATTTAAAACTGTGACTTGGAAGAAACAAATCAAATCTGAACACCTTCCGAAACCAAAATCAATATCTAATGAGGTCATTTCCAGGTTAAACTTAAATTGTCTTTAGATATTTGAGGCACGAACTCAGTCCATTTTTCCCTTGGGAATCCACATAAGGGGCAACACTTGTCCACTCGTATTATGTCCCACAAGCCGTCACAGTAGGACCTTTTCCCATGACATTCATTTAATAGTCATAAGTCATATCGATCGGTGATATGATTGGTCGACGTATAGCTTGATATTAGTACCCCGATGTACGTATGTTTGTCAATGCAGTACTTTCAAACACCGTGATCGCCTCGCAGCGAAATAACATGCCATAACGAGTACTTTCAATGTATTTTTTTTTTAAATCATCGAATGACTGTTCCCGCCTGGGTGAGGTGGGAGTATCAGACTCTTACTGACTAAAAACCACCCCGTTCCTTCTCCTGCACTTCGAGCCGGAGCCCCGGTAACCCGTTAGGTTCTCCGCGACACTTTCGATGTTTAAAGTAAAAAACAAAGAATAAAGATGTCATTGACTGCCTCGTTGGTCGAGTGGTCGCAAGTGCGACTGCCGGACAAGGGGTCTCGGGTTCGATTAACGGGTCGGGCAAAGTATTACTGGGTTTTTTAAAAAATAAATTCGTTTTACGCTTCTTGCACATAAAAGAGGTACAATGGTGGACTTAATACTTAGTAGCAGTTTATGCTCGATTTTTTTTAGCCACAAATAGTCCACACACCAACTTTTAGCTATCAACCCTGAAAACTGCGGAATACGCCATACAAACTTCCATCACCCATTTTAGGGAAGTGGGCGGAGTTAGAAAGAGATAAAAAAGTAGCCTATGTCACACTCCATATCTTAAACCATCTTCATGAAAAAAATCACGCCAATTCGCCGCTCGGTTTTGCCATGAAAGACGGACAAAAGAGACACACACATATTCGCAGAAGTAAGAAAAAGTACTTACCAATCGAAGGTCGAACAATGCAGACAGGCAGGTTGGTGTGACTATAGACAATGGACTCTGCTAGCGCCTTTGTCAATGTGTAGGGATTCGGATGTTCACCCTGCAAGGAGAATAAGGTATTAATATAATGGAGACTGCCTCACAGGCCGAGTGGCAAGTGCGACTGCCTTGCACGGGGTCGGGCCAAGTAGGTATTATATTTCTGTTGTTACACAGAGTCTGGAATTGTGTCCGGTATATGGCAATAGGCTCACCCCCTATTACATGGGACTCATAACATAAATAGTGAAAAGTGGGTGTTACATTGTACTACCCCTTCGGGGATAAGAGTGGCGTGATGTTATGATGATGATGAAAATATCCTCAGTTGTTTCCAAAACCAGCCGTTCAAAGCCTGCCCAGTCCCCAAGCGGTCACCGGTAATCGCTCTCCACTTATCCTGTGGCGACACATGTCACATGTCAACGGATGACGTCATAAAATCCTACATCGCACATGCGAAGTTTACAATCGAATTAACACGAGTAGAAAATCCCAACGAACAACTGTTGGGCAGAAAGCCCGTCAAGCACGATCACCTCGACTGGTCGAAGGATACTCCTTTTCTGATCTTAGGAAACTATACTCTCTGTTGCCACAACGTTGTGGCAACACATGTCAATGTCAATCTCATTTTCGAAGCTTAGAGACTACTTTTTTATGAACAAATGCTATAGATTTTTCATAATCGGGGATTAAGAAGTTAAGTCATCGTTTCTCCTGCATTAAAAATACTGAAGAAAATGGTAACTATTCCTTTTATTCTCCTGTAATAATATCTTCTGATTTATTTCGTTGCGGGATCCAAGACAGTTGTTCATGTGTCTGAGACGCGCCGGAATTTAGTATTTCGGTATTCGTATGGTTGTATCTAGATCTAATGTAGATCTAGGTTAAGTGTGGGACATACAAATGGGTCGGCTCGACCGGAGTTATACCACGCTAGCATTGTGTTTCGTCGCGTGGGTGAGGTTATCGGAAGCACAATTACCCCCCTCCCCAATCCCTGCATCCCGAACAATCCTCAAGTCCCGGGCAATCCCCAAAAAGCCGGTAACGCACTTGTAACGCCTCTTGTATTTCGGGTATCTATAGGCGGCACCAATTGCTAACCATCAGGTGATCCGTCTGCTCGTTTACCAGCTTATCCCAAAGCAAAATATCCTGATGCATAAAATTTATAGATATTTTGGGAGGTTTAGCCTGTAAATAACCAACCCAAGACCAGGAAACCAACCTGAAGGGTATCTGAAATGACTTCCACAGTCTCTGGGGGCAGCATCTTAGTGCATCTCACGATGCTGTCAGGGTCGTAGGGCGGTGGGTAGACCCTTTCTTCAATGTGAGACCTGGGTGCATTGCTGTAGGCTGTTGACACGTGGACCAGGGCCTGGTGGGAGAGAAGACGAAGATTAAATGATCTGTTTCAGTTGTATGTCAAAGATTTTAGTATATAGCATAATTTTACAATTATTTTTATTAAACATTATAGTCCATACCTTCAGCTTGGGCATATCTTCCGCCAACTTCAGCAGGGAGGCAGTCCCTTGCACGTTCAGCGTGGTGGCTGCATGAAGGGGCTCAGTAAACCTCACGGTTGCAGCAGAATGGAATACTGCCGTCACCTTGCCCAGCAGCTCACGCTGTTCTGGACTGACTCCAAGGTTTGGAGCGGAGACGTCTCCAGTTATTGGGTAGAGCTTCCCCAACCTTTCTGGCCATCTCGCCCTGATGCGATCGAAGACCTGGAGAGGGCGTGGTTTTAGACTTTGGATATTTTTGGGCGTGGAAACTGAATTAGGGTTTTTTGGGGGTGGAATCTTGATTACTACAAAGTTTGATAGATTAATTAGAACAGCTTAAATTTGTGTGAAATGGCTTAAACCCTCTTGTAAGAGTTAGCCACTATCTGGCCTGGTGGTGTGCTGATGCGACCTACGATGGAACACGTCGACATACCATATGCAACCTATTCACTCGGGCCTTGAAGACATTCAGACGTGTCCTTAATTAAGGGAGTTGTTTCATTTAGAAAATAAAGTACGTCTTTGATATCATTAGAACAAGGTTTGCTTAAGCTATCTTTTTAAATATAAATCAGTCCACTCCTGACTCATTCACATTCATTTATCTTTAGCAAAATCTTCTTTTGCAATCCTTCTATCGTCCCCATCCCTTCCTGACATCCTCAATCAATTCACCACTCATCCAAAACACTTATATATACAAAAAAATACAAAAAAAATATACGTACCTTCCGAAAACCCCTGAAATATCAAACTTACCTGGTTTTTAAGTAATTCCTTATACCTCTGGTCTACTGTCAGACCCCTTTTTGGTCTCATGAGAACGTACACAGTCTTGATACCAGCACAGCTCCTCAGGAGTTTCTCCAGCAGAGCTTTGCCCACAAATCCAGTTCCTCCGGTGACCAGGATTATAGAGTCTTCATAGAAGTCAGCTATGGCTTCTGATGTCTTGTCAGGCTGCTCCAAGTTCATGTGGTTCTCATAATTCAGGTTCAGCACGTTCAAATCGTTGCCGTTCATCATTTCTATGTGTTTTCTAGAAAAAGAGGAGGGCGTTTTTGGTTACGAACCGTGGTTATTTTATTGGGCGAAGTTTTTTTTGTTGGTAAATTTTCAGCACAGCGTTTGAGCGGTGTTAAGTGTGTGCATACTTGGAGTTTTTAAATTGATATTTCGTAGTTTATTTACTGAAAATCCCGGTTGTACAACGATTCATGTATAATTTTGGAGTAAGATATAGAGTACCCTCTCTTTTTGAGGACGGAAAATGCCAATGATAATCAATGACTCCTTCCTCCCTCAGTGAGGCGAGAAGTAGAGTCAAATAAAACAAATACCATCTTGTCTTTATGTTTAAACTCTTACTGACTTCACCACGTTCCTTCTTCAGCATAGAGCCGGAGCCACGGTGACCCGCTGAGTCGTAAACATCCCCAGCCGCTCGTGTATAGTATTTACGCTCGCTATCGGATTTAAATTGACTATGTATGTATGTACTTACTGATATTCGTCCATTTTGTCTGTTGACATAAATTTTGAGTCCATTCTGAACAGAAGTCACTTCGAAAATATTATGATCTGTAACAAAAGCAGTTATTTTCTCATCATCATCATCATCATCAGCATTATCAACTTCAGGCGGTAGGTTGCAAGCACGACTGCCGAAGCAATGGTCTCGGGTTCAATCCCTAGATGAGACAATGTATTATAAAGTTTTTTTCTACATTCGACAGAGTCCGGGCAGCACACACTTCAACAGCCTATAAGTGTCCACTACTGACCAAAGACCTCTTCTCACACGGAGAAGGTTTGAGCATTAACCACCACGCTTGCTCAAGGCGTGTTTGCGATTTCAAACTTATAATTAGAAATTATAAGCCCAGGTTTCCTCACGATGTTTTCCTTCACCGTTTGTTAGTGGTGTCTAGATAATCTTAGACAGTACATTTAACTCGGAAAACGTCACATTGGTATTTGCCTTTGGTAGGTTTCGAACCAGCGCCCTCATGCATGAGAAGCGGGCGTTAAACTTCCAAGCCACCACGACCGGGCAGCAGCGCTCTCTGATAAACCTGAACCTTTTATACTGCGATCTCCAACCCGCCAGCCTGCGGAGATTATGACAACCCCCTCTTATGTAGAAGAGGCTCATAGTCGAACAGTGGACTGTCATTCACTGTCGAATGCTAATTACGAACCACTTTTACTTAAATCAGAATCGAACCGCCTATCGTCACGTGTTCAACCACGCGGGCGTGTGTCGAAAATTCTTATGTAAAAAAAAAACAACTAAAAATGCGTTGCTTCACATTCTATTGAGGTTTTGAGGACTTATTAACATAGTATTTCACGCGGTTTCCATCGCTTTATTGACAGTATTTATTAAAGTTTAGCAAGACTTTAACTATCGCTGTTGCTGCAACATCGCACCTTTTTATTGGTTAGAGAGGTAAGCAGAGACATTCAAATGTTATACACAATTTTCATCGTCGTACGACTTTATTTTGCGTTTATAGTAATCGAAATGAGATTGCGTTCGACGTTCTGATTGTTTAGTTATTGGAGCTGGCCAATTAGCGCCGAACGTGTAGGTGTGGGAGAGCCATGCTTCGGTACAAATGTCCCGGTTCTACCGGAGTGATACCGACGGGAAACAACACTTGTTACCGGAGGTCCAATCCATCACTCATCTCCAATCTTCCCAATCCTCGAATCCGAAACAATACTTAAATTGTTTTTATAATAACTATCGTGAGACATACCAAATCAACTAAAAATCGCGGGTTACTCACGTCAATATACTATAGGCTACGCGACGTCGCCGCGACCGCGCATGCTGCTCATGAGGAAGAACCCCTCTGTGGTTTGAAACTAGTAGAGCTTTTCTCAGTATATTCAAGTGAGTAACCCGCGGGTTTTAGTTGAATACTCAAATTCCTAATCCCCAAAAGGCCAATAACGCACTGTAACACCTCTGGAGTGTCGGGCGTCTAATAGCGTCCATCAGGTAATCCGTCTGCTCGTTTACCGGCTTATTCCACAAAAAAAAAACTCCTACTAAGCCCTTAGATTAAGTTTAGTCTCATGGAATGGAGGATGAGCTTGATACACACCGGGTACACAGTAATAGAAACACATAGAAATATTACTGAATCTGAACCGAATATTGGCTGCGCAATATTCAGGAGTCGACTTGTATCAGTTCTGTGGAACAACTCTTCCGCCAATAAAAAGGACCAATTCATAAAGTTGACGGCCAAACTTCAGGAATGAGGTGGCACCATAGGAAGAAGAAGAATCGAATTTAATACCCCCATTAAAAATTGTGGTCTATTGAGAACGGATTGGAAAAATATACATAACATCACGCCTTTTATCCTCGAAGGGGTAGGCAGAGGTCCACATTATACCACTGTACAATGTAACACCCACTTTTCACTATTTATGTTATGAGTCCCATGTAATAGGGGGTGAGCCTATTGCCATATACCGGGCACAGTTCCAGACTCCGTGCTACTACTGAGACTTTTTTTAAAAACCCAGTAATACTTTAATTATAAAGTTTGCATAATTGACTGCCTCTTAAGCCGAGTAGTCGCAATTACGACTGCCGGGCAAGAGGTCTCGATATCGATTCCCGGGTCAGGCAAAGAATTACTAGGATTTTTTAACAAAAATCTTAATAGCAGCATGGGGTCTGCAATTGTGTCCGGTATGTGGCAATATGCACACTCTCTCTAATACATGGGACTCATAACATATGTATATAGTAAAACACTCCCTTTCACCAATTATGTTGTCATATGAGTCCCATGTTATAGGGGATGAGCTAAATAGGAGGCACTATGATATTGAAAAATATTTTTGATATACCTAGATCGAAATACCTAGATAGATATCGTAGAGATACATTTTAAAGTAAACTTATGGTTTTGTAATAAGACTTGCTTAACACTAAACAATTTACGCAAAACTGGACCTCAGACTATGACTATATAATAATTTTGCAATCATAATAATATGCCCGACTTGGGTAACGAACCTAAGAACTTACGCACTGCACGCATAATTGGTAATTATGTAATTTAATAACACACTTTAAAACGCGAGAAATACATTATTATATGATAGATGATGATTTTAAAAAACTAACTAAGTATATGGCAAACATTAAATTAAATAAGAATAAAAATATGAATAAATTTTAAAATCATCAATACATAATTCAATAAAAATAATAAACAAAAAAAAACAAACCATTAATTAATACAACAAAAAATAACAATAAAAAATCATTCACCGAAAAATAAAACTAACAACGAATTTCACACACACACATAAAAATAAAAATAACAATAAAAATAAAATACTCACCAAAAATAAATTGAAGCGCCGACGTCCAATAAATGGAACTCGAATTTTTTTTTATTATTTTTTTTTGTCAGCTATATCATTTTTATTTTTTTTTTAGTTATGTACCGACGGAGCAGAATACTGCCTCGCGCTGCGGGTCGGCTTTCACTGGCTATAGACTCACGTAATATCACTTGTAACATGTTGAGTACATACGGATGTGTTTTGTGACCGGGTGCGGTTTTAGCAGCGGTTTATTTTCGATTTTATTTTAAGTATTGGTATTGTATTGTATGGGGTATTCGTTTATTTTAATTTGGAGGAGTAAAGGGGTGATTTTTGTTCATAATACGAGAGATGACGACCAAAAATTTTTGTCTCATAGCAATACGGCAAAAACCCTATAAAATCGTTAGATTGTATGATTCCGAACCCGACTAGGTGTGTAGTAACGGTCGAAAGTGTAGCAACTGCGTGGGAGGCCATTTCTGCTGTGTCAAAAATATCTGAGTATCGAAAAGTTGTCTGATAGAGAAGGTGCTACACTTATTATGTCTGATATAAATTTTTTGCACATGTGGACAACTTATTTTATCATGTCCAACAATTTTCAGACATATTCCCATGATACCGATCGGTAAAAAAAAAAGAAATCTTACTAGCTTTCACCCGAGGCTTCGCTCGCGTCACAAAAGGATAAAAGTAGCCTATGTGACACATACCAATACATACAGCGCCATCTATACCAATACTTTTGTTTTCCCTCGGGAATATCAAATTTTTCCGATATAAAAAGTGCCCTGTTATTTAATCCAGACTTCTAACTTTACGTCTGCAAAAAATCAAAGCAATCGGTTTAGTAGTTACGCCGTGAAAGCGGAACAAACAAACAAACTCATTTTCCGATTTATAATATAAGTAAGGATTCTTTTTAACTCAGGAACTGCTGGTCCGATATGAATAATAATTATTTTTGTGTTAGATGAGGGCTGTCCAACCAAAGGCCCGTGAGCCGCTGCGGCGGTATTAAGGAGTGGGTATATTATACCTATGGGTATGTGAGTAGAGTTCTTTAAGATCGGAAATGGAGGATCCTATGAGCAGGCGAGGTGTTCGTCCCTGGCGCGGTTTCTGCCCAACAGTTTTTCGTTGGGCAAGTGCGACTGCCGGGCAAGGGGACTCGGACTCGAGTCCCGGGTCGGGCAAAGTATTACTGGGTTTTTTTAAAATCCCAGTAGTAGCACGGAGTTTGGAACAGTGCCCGGTTTATGGCAATAGGCTCACCCCCTATTACATGGGACTCATAACATAAATAGTGAAAAGTAGGTGTTACATTGTACAGTGGCATTAAGTGCCGCAATGTGCACCTCTGCCTACGCCTTCGGGAATAAAAGGCGTGATGTTATGTTAATATATATGTGTAATTAATAAATAAACGAATGTAATACCATTCATACGTAACTGAGATACACCTTTAGTAACTTAAGGAAAAACGCAACAACATCGCCGCTCAAACTGCTCGGCCGTGTATTTTCAAATTACGCGTATCTTGCGTTCTTGCCCATTCATTAAGACGCATAGGGCTATTTACAATTTGGACATAACCTTACGTCATTATATATATCCGGTTTTGTGGACATAAGTAGCCCACTGCTGGGCATAACCTGGATTCGTAGAAAATTGACTTTGACAATTTGGTATTTTGAATTTTTAATCGATGCGTGTGTAATGGTGCGTTGATTTATTGTTATTAATTATTGTTGAATCTAATTAAAATAGGGGAATTATTTACTGCACCTCTATTTAGAAATTTAAGCTAACTAAATTTCTCCACTCATAAACTACTGCATATCAAAAAAAATAACCGTAAAACAAAAACGAATACTGATTTGCACACTAATTGTTCAATATTAGGTTAGGTTTGTTATTTATTGTTTATTTTTTTTTATTGTACCTCTATATTTATTATTAATGAATGCCTCATTGGCCAAGTGGTCGCAAGTGCGACTGCCGGGTTCGATTCCCGGATCGGTCAAAGTATTACTGGGTTTTTCTCAGTGGTAGCACGGAGTCTGGAACTGTGCCCGGTATATGGCAATAGGCTCACCCCCTATTACGTGGGACTCATAACATAAATAGTGAAAAGTGGGTGTTACATTGTACAGTGGCGTAATGTGCACCTCTGCCTACCCCTTCGGGGATAAAAGGCGTGATGTTATGTTATGTGTTATGTTATTAAATACCACCCATTATAATATGTAGGTATAAAAATAATGATAATGCCTCGTTTGTCGAGTGGATTTGATTCCCAAGTTAGACAAAGTATTTTTTTAAAACCTTAGTAATAGTACAAAGTCTACAATTACGTACGGTGTATGCCATAGCCAGCACCTGTGAATCCTCTGGTGTTGCGGGTGTCCATGGACGGCGCTGATCGCTTACCATCAGGTGATCCGTCTGCTCGTTTGCCTCGTTTGCTATAAAAAAAGAACGAATGCTCTTATCTTGAAGGTTTTAATAGAATTTTGACTGTAGAGAACAAAAAACAAAATATTACACCAAAAAAACTCGATTTACAAACAACAAATTCATCCAATCGCAATGAATGAATTTGACCTTTTGACAGCTAATTGACCAATCACGAACGTGTTACCTTTCAAAACTGGAACAATGCGTTTACAAAGAAAGAAATGATACGTTCTGTTTGATATATATGTAATAGAAAACTGGTTTGTATGAACAAACATGGGTAATCAAGCGTTACTTTGTTTCATACTAAGATACCAGTTTTAACCCGCAACATATAGATACATACAATCCAATATTTCTCTCAATTCCTTAAGAATTGACAATAGGCTCACCCCCTATTATTACTATACACCACAGATGGGGCCCAATAGGGCCGATGCCGATTCGGAGTCGCGGAGAACCCAACGGGTAACCGGGGCTCCGGCTCGACGTGCAGGAGAAGGAACGGGGTGGTTTTTAGTCAGTAAGAGTCTGACACTCCCTCCCGCCTCACCCAGGCGGGAGCAGTCATTCGATGATTTTCCCCCCTTAAAAAAAACCCCTATTAGGGGAAAGTCCCATAACGCCGGACGGCACCTAACGCCGGACACTTGGATTATCTCGACAGCTGATAACAGGAGCGATTCAATTTTTACTAAAAATCTTTGTTATCTGCCACTGGG